CCCCTCCGCGCAACGCTCTCCCTCCCTGAGAGAGAGAGAGAGCAAAAGAGGGCCGAACTTCCTCTTTTAATGGAGATTAATATGGTAGTCGAAGAGCGAACTACAAGAACAACAGCGGTCAGGCTGGCTTCTTCTAAGATCTGAAATCCTTTCGATTCCTTAGAGATATCTTTCCCGCGGCCTACATCGTTGATCGGCGATGAGGTTCTTCAACGAGTTGCCTCCGATGGATTTCCTCCGTTCGGAGAAGATGAGTTTCGTGCAGCTCATAATCCCAGTGGAGTCTGCGCACAGGGCTATCACCTACCTTGGCGAAATCGGCCTCGTCCAATTCCGAGATGTAAGGAGTCTTGCTCATGCAGATCCTGTCTGTTTTCTTGAAGCCGTCGGTCGGATCTCTTGTCGAGAGATAGGAACAAGAGTTCCGGTTAGGCGTGCATTTCGGATTGAGATTAGTTTTTCTTCTACGGGTTTCAATTTTCGTGTACCGTTCGATTCTTCTGACTTCGTTTTTTTTTTTTAATCTTTTCGTCAAGATCTCTGTAATTTGGAAATTCCTGTGCATTTTCTCTCGTAAACTTATTTGTGAGAAATTAGCTGAAAGATTATCACCTCGGACATGTAGGTCACTTGGGATCTTTATCAATCGAAATGGGCATAGATAGCTGTATTTTATTGTACGTGGAATTCACATTAAATTTATCGGAGGAACTAGCGTTCATTATTGGGTGAAATGCATGATACTGCTACAGGAGTTAACCCAAAACAACAGGGGAAGTAAATTTTATTACGCAAAGCATAACAAGATTACAATCAAAGACCTTGAACTAGGAAAAAACAAGACACAAGCTCAACTACCTTCTTAGGCTGTGGTGGGAAGGTGGCGGTGGCTAGGGGAATAGTGGTTGGAGGGCTATCCAGCTTCTGGACAGCCGGCTGAGCAGCTGTGAGGGGCTTGGAGGTGGTGGCAGCAAACAGAGATGGTGTAGAAAGGGGCAACAGCAGCAATGAAGAGATGGGGAGGGGCGCTGGCAACATGGGACGGTGCAGGAAGTGGCAGTAGCAAGTAGAAAGGGTGCAAGGAGGGAGGCAGGCAGAAGAGGAGAATAGTGATGGAAATATGCTGAGATAATCGTCATCTTGGAGCAGGATACTACAGGGGTATCACATGTCCTCGTACATAAACTTAGCAAGGGAAAAGATGTCGATGTCTGAAAGTGAAACACAACAAATAACATACATATAGTTCTTTGGTAAAGAGGAGGGAGCCCTGGTTCAAATAGGAGGGAACCATGTGCTAGGAAAGACCGCTCGATCCTTCTCCCAACAACTTGTTCGAGTTGGTCGGTGTGCGGCACTTGCCGTGCCCACGCGGGCATAGTCAACCTCGCGTTACACATTGAATTTGAATTTCTTTACCAGGGTTGGCTTTGAGTTTAATTCAGATTCATCAGATATGCTGGTCTACATATGTCATTAGATTGGGCCATGCATCATATGTTCATATTTATATTAAATTGTATTAAAGCAAGGTTTAGATATAGTTTTACATGAAGACAAGAAGATTTCTCGTAGGAATTGTAAAACTTATATGGATGTTTCTTATCATACGATATGCTTCTATAATAAGCAACTTGGAGGGTAATGCTGACACATGGGTGGTGCTGGAGAATAGAGTCAATTTGTAATGAAACTCAATACTTAGTTCAAAATCTGTTCGTCATTAAGCTATAAAACTGATTTTGCTAATCAATTTGAACAACATCATGATAAAAGTTACATTTGAGTTTAAAGATGGATTGATAACTTGAATATTGACTGTGATGTCCTAAGGGGCTGTTTGGCTTCAAGTAGGATTTAGTAAATCCCTAAATCTGTAAATCTACCCATTCCTTGGATTTAGTAAATCCAGATTTAGGCCAAATCAAATGGAAAATTGGGTTCACTAAATCCAACAATTCGTAAATCTATGGAACTCTTGCATTTTTTGCTTGGTTGGATTTAGAAAGTCCAGTGCACTACCCAACAACATCTAAATGTAGGTGATATTGGGGATTAACAGAGATGTTCATGCCATCAATGCTTGCCAGTGGTAACTACTGAGTGTTTGCATGGGTAGACCTTTTGAATTAAAAAGGTTAGTAATGTGCTTGGATCTGGCTGGTGTAAGAATGTAGTGTTGAGATTGTTGTTACCCATTGCATTGAATTGGCTCCAAAGAAGGATGGTACTTACTGTTTTGTCATATGAAAATAGTTGGAGACTAGAAAACAATAATTTCATAGCAAGAACCAGATTTGTTGTCTAAACCTTGTTTAGGATTTTGGGACAATAAATGACATCAAGCTATGATAAATAGGTGTTATAACAACTCCCAAAAGAGAAATTTGGTGCTTATGTAAGGTTCATTGGCAGAGGAAAAATGAAATCAAATTCCATGCAATAAGATTTTCTTAAAAATTTTCCTGATTAGTTGTTTGGAGAATCCTAAGTGACTGGTTTTGCTGGCAGTCCGAGTTAGGATCAAGTTTAACCTCTTTAATTCCTGAATGAGGACACTCTAATTGTTGTGATGATTGGTTGAAAAGCAACTTGATGTTGGTTAATTTTCAACTTTCAAGAGAAGAAGAAAGAGGTAGTTATTGCAATTTAAAGGAATAATGCATGGTTTTGGCAGAATTTGGTATTGAGTGATACCTTATTCAAGCCATCTATTAGTTACAAAATGGATCATAATCAGTGAAAATCACAACAAGTAATGTATTTATGTGAGATGCATACAAGATGCCATTATCATCCAAAAAAGGAATACATCTATATCACCTCCTTGTATTTTTGTCATTGTATTTGAGGCTAAACCTTGTAAAGATGTTTTGGAACTTCTATAAGGATAGCAGTTGGCTTATAGAAAAAAATTAATTAGGTTGAAGTGTACCACCATGTTTGTCTTTATCTCAACTTCTTAGGATTATCATTATGAATCATTTTTCATTCATTTTTACCAAGTTTTTTGAGATGTTGAGCTTATCCATCAAAAATCATTTTGAATAACTTATATCGATCTAATCTAAAGTTTACCCATTTTGCTTTCTAATACCTTGATAACAGTTTTATCAACTTGTCTTATTGGTGTATTTTCTACTTTTCATAGCATATATCAAAAAGAACAAAGGGCATTTTCAATAGTCTAATCTTCAATACAAGATTTGATACAATCACTTCTTAATTTATCTACCTTATTCACATATTTTTTACATTCTCATTTCTCCCACACTGAATGTATATATAAATGCCTATTTATATCCTAACATTCAAGTTCATATAACATGGTTTAACTGCAATTTTATAAATTTAGTTTTTAACAATTTTGTTATCCTCATCATAAAAATTGATAAACTTCTCTATTTTAACCATCAATTTTTAAATCTAAAAGTTATAGCCTCATATATAACTTCATTGTTTGTATAATAAATTTGAGATATCACTCTTGGATATCACTGTCTTTTAATAATATTAAATGATAATTAATAACATCATATCTATTAAAAATAAATATCATATATTAAGTTTTAAAAGGACAAAATTGGGAATTAAGGTATTTTATCAAAGTTAGGCATAAGCCTCGAACTAAATTTTTTTTAAGAAGTACACAATTAAGAACTAATCATGATCAAATGTTAAAGCCATCACCAAAGGTTAGGCATAAGCCTCGAACTAAAAATTTAAAAAAAAGTACAAAATTAAAAACTAATCATGATCAAATGTTAAAGCCATCACCAAAAAAAAAGTAGAAAATCATAGTTTTTAATAGTAAAAAAGTCAATAAAAAAAATGAAATGAAAATAATACTTTTAAAGATATAAAGGTAGAAGAGGAAAAAAACTAAAACTAAAACTCAAACTAAAAAAAGAAAAATAGAAGTCACTAAAACGAAAATAAAAAAAAATAGTTAAAAGAAAATTGAAAAGAACTTAAAAGAAAGCAAAAGCAAAAGCAAATTGAGTAAAATAAGAATTAAATAAGTTAAAAGAAAATTAAAAAGAACTTAAAAGAAAGCAAAAGCAAATTGAGTAAAATAAGAATTAAATTAAATTAAATAATCAATTAAAATTAAAAATAATTAGACAGTAAAATTGTTAAAAAAGTTGAAGGTAAAAAAAAGCTAAAGCTTTAACCCCTCCATCTCCAAAGAGATCTAATCTTTAAACCTAAAAAGATAAACTCTCTTATTTATAAAAATTATATTTTTAAGTAAATTAACAATTAGAGGTGTTTGTTTCATGTTTTTTGAGGTGTACATCCTAAACGGAAAAGGTGTAAGTCTTGTGGTAGCTGGAAAATCATATGCCTCAAGGTATTTATAGGGCTCCTTATAGTGAGGTGTGCATGGGGGACAGAGCCTCAGAGGCGTTTTAAATAATTTTATGCACTCAATTTATGTTCTACATATTCTAAGAACTCCATCATTCAAATATTTTCCTTACTATTTTAATTTTTTGCTTAATTTGGTGGATATTTCATTGATTAGAGCTATATCACTTGTCATAAAATATCAAAAGCTTCACTTTAAATATCTTTTTAATCATCCATCTTATGGTGATAGTAGATGTAAACCTACACTAATTGAAACTCTTGGGCTATTCCACAACTGAATACCAGTAATGCTCAATCACTCTTATCTTTAATAATACCACTATATCTTTGTAGTACATCGTTCAATCTTAAAGCATACCAATAAATTTTTGTGGTATTCAATCATATGTCTTCTCAAGATAAATACAAATTATATGAAGAACTATTCTTTGTTCTTTATACTTATTCCATTCTTTTTTATGTATATTTATATGATAAAAAATATATTTATTCCATTACATCTCTTATCTTAAAAATTTCTACATAACAGATCTTCCTGTCATGAAATCAAAATTAGTTCTCCAAATTAGATGTTATCTTTATAAGTCTAACTTCCATTATTCTCCTCCATTGATTATTTTCTTTCTTTTATAGTTGCATGATCTTGATCATCATCTTTATTCGTAATTGTTGGTACCAAATGTTGTTTCTCCAGTCATTTCACATTTTTTAAGTTTTCAATTCTATTGAAAATATTTCTAGATCATCACAATATCATCTGTAACTTTTCCATCTTAATAGGTATCTCAAGTGAACCTAAGGTCTTATCATTATGGATCTTTTTAAAAGCTAATTCTAATTTTAGTAATTTTATAAACTAGAATTTTTATTTTTCATAGCTGTTTATATTTTTAATCAAGATCTTATTTTCTTTACTTCTAATGCATTTAGCTTGATCAAAATCTTTTAGACATTTTATGTTATCTATTCTATATGTACTCTTTTTTTTCCTTCCCAAACTATTATGCAATCAAATTTTCTTCCTGAATCACATTACCATTTTTTTTTAAGGAATTATTTTTTATTTAACAAGAAGAATTTGATATATGATTTAAGACACCAGGATGCTAATTAAGAAGCATTAAAATAAAAATTGCAGTTTGAACAGTACAAAATATTTTGTTCTTAGCATATGGTTTACGAGAAGGTTGAATGGTTTCTTTTAGAAGCATTAAAATTTTTTGATAAATTTTTAAAAATTGCAGTTTGAACAGTACAATATATTTTGTTCTTAACATATGGTTTACGAGAAGGTTGAATGGTTTCTTTTATGGTCAGCAGAATGGCTTGACTTTATTGCATGGGAGTGTCAAGGTTAAAGTTTAGCATATCATTCATAAACTGTTTGATAACAAGGCTGATTCTGGGAGTTGATGACAAGATTTTGTAAGGTAAGGAGAGAAGTCTTTAGCAAGTGAAATTTCTTCTGGCAGGTCACCCATAAGCTGTGCAGATGGGTGTTAGGATTCACCAGTTGTAATTTTGCGGCAGCGAAGCTGGTTCACACAATTAACTTAGTTTTATCCTTGTGCTTTCTCCAATTGCTCTGCCTGCAAACACATTTTCTAGAAGCTTTTTTTTTTATCATGTGTGGCTTTCTTAATTTTGATTTTTTTTGGTCTATTAATTGTTTCTAGTTCTACACAATGCATCTTATGAGTCATGTCATTTTGATGTTGAACAGAGAAAAGTTTCTAAAACTTGTGATGATTTTATCAAACTTCATCGATTCAATTACACATAATATGACAATGGAAGGCAAGCCATCCAGTCAAACACCAAATGTGGGAGACATGTTGTTGAAATAAGGATAAAGGCATGTGTGAGTGCATAAACTAGCGAGCATAATGTTTATAGATCCTCAAACACATAAAATATGATTACCTAGCACATCGAACACCAAACTACACAACATGCAAGTGTCCACACAATATGTAATGATTATGGTGAAGATACAAAATGAAGATTGAGAATATAACAATCTTATGCGCATATATAAGGATTTCTCGATTATAATAGCATATGAGCACATAATAATTCAATCATCTTATGATCCTGTAAGGATTCAAACCTGGCAAGTTAATAGGGCATTTATGTACATCTAGCGTTTGAGCAATGAGCACAACAATGTTTAACTAGCATAAATTCATGCTTAAGTGCACCCAACCTTGCCCAGGATTCCATTAAATTGATACATATGAGGGGAAGCTCTCTTCTTTTGTGGCAGAGTAGCCAACGCATCTTGTCTTTATCCTATAAGAGTATCAAATTTACATTGCTGTGAGTAGAGCTAGTATCACCTGTAAGTGTCGGGCACACCTACTTTATAACTATCAAGGTAAAAAATACCTCTTCCAAGCTTTTCAAGGCGTTGGTAGAGTATGTGTTTAATATGTAATATGAAAATAATGATTATGTCTCACGTTACCATCTAAAAGCTTGATGATGTTCAAGATTGAAGTTCGCAAATGCTGTTTTTGTGGTATCTGAGTACCCTGTTGACTCTTTTGTTTCATACTTTTAGTGTTTTTGTTCTACGTAGGTGTCTTGTTCTTCATCTTTATTTATCTCAACTTTCTGAAAGGCACCTTGTATTGATGTTCCTCCTTTTGTTTTCATATGGATCGCCCCTATGCCAAATTTTTATGTCTGCAATTCGAACCTTGTGATTTTTGCTTCAGTGGTTTTTATGCAAAATTCTACTTTCTTGACTGTATGATTGTGTGGAACTTTTTTATCTATAATGGTACATAACTCTTGCATCTTTTGGACTGTGGAAATCTCTTCCAACACTAAATGGGTGTCATGGTGAACTCTTAATGCTCGACTGTGGATCTAAAAATGCTATAATTAATGAGATTTTATCTAGCTTAATGTTTTTTCAACATATTATTTGTCTGCTACGATAGAAAGAGCCGTAATAGATATAAGCTGAACGTTTTAATACGTGACTATTGGTAGCTTACATTTTAACTGTTTGGGAAATTTACATACATACCACAAAATTCTTATGTATTTACATATTTACACTTATAACTCCATGGTGTCATAAATCATTGTTGAAAAGGTGTATTTCACTTTTAAAAAGACACTCCATGGTGTCATAAACCATTGTTGAAAAGGTGTATTTCACTTTTAAAAAGATAGCAATGCTGTAATTTTTGATATGATCTAAAGATTTGAGTGATATGCATGTAAATATGAATGTTTAGGTGTTTGATATGTAAATACATAACCATTGTGTGGTATGTATCTAAATGCCCCTAAATCTTTCCATTCTCTTATTTCCTTTATTCTGATTGATTCTCTGAGTGAATTTTATTTGTGGTACTCTTATCATGCTCTCTTTTGGCAGTTAAACGATGATAAGAGTCCATTTCAGCGAACTTTTGTTAATCAGGTATGCATGGTCTATATCCTTTTCTATTGCTTTCTATTTGTTTGATTTTTTTTTTTCCTTGGTTCAAATGGTTAGCCCGATGATTTGGTAAAAAAATTCATCTTTCTATTTGTTTGATTTTTTTTTCCTTGGTTCAAATGGTTAGCCCGATGATTTAGTAAAAATATTCATAAAGCAGCAGAAATTTAATTGAACTCTCATCCCGTCCACTCTTTTTCGTACTTGCTATCTGTGTTTGGATGCGGTTTGGTGCAATAGAGCATTGATCCATTATTTTGCAGTTGCTCTTTTTTTGGAAGATTTACATAGATACCACTCAATACCTAAGTATTTACATATCTAACTTCCATATATGCCTGCTTACCTATGTATGAAAAGGTGTGTTTCACTTTTTAAAAGTTAAAATAGTGGTACATGATATGAAATATTTGGGTGGTTGAAATGTAAAAAACAAAGTTTAGGCGTTAGATAGAATTGCTGGTATTTATGTAAATGCCTCTTCTTTTTATCTCTCAATGAGCTTACAAACATTCGATGCTTCAAAAACAAAGCATTTTTGTAGTTTGTTTAGAAGATGAAGCTCCATTTCAAATTCTATAATTATTATAGGTAGCTAAAGGATACAATCTTTCCTTCCTTTTTCTCATCAAAATTAAATTTGCCTGACTTTGTACGTATTTTCCTTGAAATTATGTCCAACTTCCTGTCATTTATCTGTGTTAAACTGCTATATTATAGTACAGCGTGTTTGTCTTATGATAGTCTATGCTAACACGAGCAAACAACAATTTTTATTAGTTTGGGCTGTGGTTATTTCACTGTCATATTGAGGATTAGTTTGTGTTAGTTTATAGTGATTGGTAGTGAGTTTAACATGGTCCTACTTCTAATAACTCAAACACATTATATTTAATGGTACTCTCATTCACAAAAGGTTAAATCAGCAAGCAACCAGTAGGCGGGCACTCGGCTTTTATATGATAGATTTGCATGAAAAAGAAGAATGGACTAATAATTGAGGAATTTATAAATATGAAGGGACTAATTGAGCTGCATGAATCCATAGGTTTGAATAAATGAAATTCTTCAGTCCTTAAAGTTTTTTACATTTTTGAAAGATGAATGGATGTCGAGTCTACTACGCATAACAAAAAAAAAAACTGCCATATATCTAGTTTCCACCCCTTATATAAGGGATTGGGAATGCTGTTGAACATAGGGCTGCAAACGAATGAAGCCGAGCCTACTGTTCAAGCTCGAGCTCATTTATCAAGAACTTGTTCGAGCTCAATCCAAGCTCAAACTGAGTTTTTTGATAGTGAAATAGCTTGTTATATTTAAATTCTCGCTTCTTCAAGATTGGTAGGAGCTTGGCTTGAGTTTTGCTAATTTTGTAACTGTCAAGCTTTAAATGAGTAGCATGTCTAGAGATATGAACATACCCGTATCAAGCTAAGCATATTCAGCCTTATTGAACATTAAAAAATATAATTTTAATTTAGCAATATTTTGAACTAGTTTGTTAAGTCCTGCCAGCTACTTTCACCCTCTAGATCTCACCATTATTGGAAACATTGCATGTCCAATTAGGGTTACAGTCTCACACAATTGAGCTCTTCCTTTTTCTTATTTAAAATTTTCTATGTTAAGCCTCTAAACAATCTGAGACTCGATGTTTATAGGAGTTATGGCGTTAGGAGTCGAGTAGCTTTGGGAATTGTTTTTATTAAATGGAAACAATGTATGTGTACACATAATTATGTTAGCACAAATCTTGAGAAGATCCAATGGTCTAGGAGAAAAAGAATATCAAAGGGTGAACCCACTAGCAGAATATCTGGGGGACCCGGATGCCCGATCAGAAGAATCAGACTCAAAACTAACAGTTACAAGGATGAGGATCACCCAAACCTAACACCTCAATTCAATCAAGCCCAGAGAAGTGAACAATTCCTCATATCTTATGGCCATACAGGGGATGGCCAACAACCTTCATCTAAAATCTCTTCGTCTAAGGGCAGACTATCTGCCGGATTACGATAATTCACCTTCTGCTCGACATCCTAGCTTCATTTTGTTGATAGGAGTTTTTTGATAAGAATCAATGGTCATTGATCATTATACATGATGGTTGTCAGACTTGATTGATCAGTTCTTTCGACGCATGGTCAGTATAAGATGAGCCAAACAATAACATCTACGATTCTAGCCTTTTGACAACATAAATCGAGCCGCTTGCTCCCAAATGTACACTCGCCAAAACTTTGATAGGACAGTTGACTGCCAGCGCCTATCAGATCCAACCGACCGACAATGCTTGACGAAGTCCAACCAATCCTAGTCAGCCAAGCTCGAGAGCAGTAAGGCCCTGGGCCAACAAGACTGAAATACTTAGAATAACCTGCGCAGTCCCTACTCAAGTAGGAGCATAAATGTAACTTAACCTATTACCCCCCCTTTGTCTATAAATAGGAGAATAAAATGTTACACAATTCCCTCATTTTGTTAGGAGCCATAGTGGGATTAGGCGCGGAGCAGCTTCAGAAATTTTATAAATTAATAGAAACAACGATAGTGAACATTGAAGTTTGTCCCTATGAACAATGAATGTGAATTTTTTAGATTAAATATAAAGCAAGCATTTTTCTATATATATAATTAGTATTTAAATTATTTTATAATTTGGTTTTTTATTTAGTTATAAATAAAGATGCATTTTGTTAATAATATTTAAAATTTTATTTAAATTAAATTAAATATTTATTTATAAATTTACATCGGTTATTAAATTAATTATGTTTTACTTTATATTGGATATTATATTGAGCCTTAATTAAACTTCTAAATGAGTTTACTTGCAAGCCTTTAATAATGTTGTTCTTAATCATAAATATCAAACAATTAAATTATTTAAGCCTATTCATTTAATAACCAAATTTTTTGTAAAAGTGGTTAAGCTTATTCAAATATAGATCTCACCATTATTGGAAACATTGCATGTCCAATTAGGGTTACAGTCTCACACAATTGAGCTCTTCCTTTTTCTTATTTAAAATTTTCTATGTTAAGCCTCTAAACAATCTGAGACTCGATGTTTATAGGAGTTATGGCGTTAGGAGTCGAGTAGCTTTGGGAATTGTTTTTATTAAATGGAAACAATGTATGTGTACACATAATTATGTTAGCACAAATCTTGAGAAGATCCAATGGTCTAGGAGAAAAAGAATATCAAAGGGTGAACCCACTAGCAGAATATCTGGGGGACCCGGATGCCCGATCAGAAGAATCAGACTCAAAATTAACAGTTACAAGGATGAGGATCACCCAAACCTAACACCTCAATTCAATCAAGCCCAGAGAAGTGAACAATTCCTCATATCTTATGGCCATACAGGGGATGGCCAACAACCTTCATCTAAAATCTCTTCGTCTAAGGGCAGACTATCTGCCGGATTACGATAATTCACCTTCTGCTCGACATCCTAGCTTCATTTTGTTGATAGGAGTTTTTTGATAAGAATCAATGGTCATTGATCATTATACATGATGGTTGTCAGACTTGATTGATCAGTTCTTTCGACGCATGGTCAGTATAAGATGAGCCAAACAATAACATCTACGATTCTAGCCTTTTGACAACATAAATCGAGCCGCTTGCTCCCAAATGTACACTCGCCAAAACTTTGATAGGACAGTTGACTGCCATCGCCTATCAGACCCAACCGACCGACAATGTTTGACGAAGTCCAACCAATCCTAGTCAGCCAAGCCCGAGAGCAGTAAGGCCCTGGGCCAACAAGACTGAAATACTTAGAATAATCTGCGCAGTCCCTACTCAACTAGGAGCATAAATGTAACTTAACCTATTACCCCCCCTTTGTCTATAAATAGGAGAATAAAATGTTACACAATTCCCTCATTTTGTTAGGAGCCATAGTGGGATTAGGCGCGGAGCAGCTTCAGAAATTTTATAAATTAATAGAAACAATGATAGTGAACATTGAAGTTTGTCCCTGTGAACAATGAATGTGAATTTTTTAGATTAAATATAAAGCAAACTTTTTTCTATATATATAATTAGTATTTAAATTATTTTATAATTTGGTTTTTTATTTAGTTATAAACAAAGATGCATTTTGTTAATAATATTTAAAATTTTATTTAAATTAAATTAAATATTTATTTATAAATTTACATCGGTTATTAAATTAATTATGTTTTACTTTATATTGGATATTATATTGAGCCTTAATTAAACTTCTAAATGAGTTTACTTGCAAGCCTTTAATAATGTTGTTCTTAATCATAAATATCAAACAATTAAATTATTTAAGCCTATTCATTTAATAACCAAATTTTTTGTAAAAGTGGTTAAGCTTATTCAAATATCTAATCAAACATTCATGAACATGCTCTTATCAAGCTGAGCCATCAGTAGCTTGTTAAACATTTGATTCATTTATAGCTCTTCTTGAATGATTCAGATGTGGCTGAAGGAAGATAGTCATGGTAGGATTTTTGTTGTGGTGGGTAATAAGCAATCAGAGTATTGGAGGACAGGGAACTTGCGAGTGGTTCTATACAAATATAATGACATGTGCAAATGTAGTAAGTGACATGTGAGTAATAGGCAGGTGAGGACTTGCTAGCAGTGTGAGCTATAATGCATCATACGGTGTCCGAGAACTTTTGCATTAAAAACGTGTAAACAAGAGGAGAGGTGTTTGATCACGCATGAAAAAATTGCTTGGCATATATATGGTGAGAGGAGTTGCAGGAGTGGTTTTAAACGGAGTGAGTGAAACTTAGTGTAAAGATATGTTTAGTGTTTGCTGGGCCTAGGTGGAGTGCATGAGTGCAGTGGCTAAAAAATGAAGGTGTGGGGGAACCAAATAATTGAGCCAGTTGAATGCAACTGATGAAAACAAAGTCTTGGTTGACTCAGATCAATAACTTGGTATCGGAGGACATGGAGGCAGGTTTATAAGGATCAACATGCG